TTTTTTTCATTTTCAAATTTTTGTTAAGGTGACGAGATTCTAATTTTTAAGCATTCCAGTGGATGGAAGAAACATTGGAATTTCTCTTATTTTTTTGAAGTCCCTATCTTGAAGAAAGAAAAATAAATTCAAGACCCCACTTCCAAAGACATAAAAATTCCAAACACCCCCTACTCATTACTCAATACTTTTGTTCGTTATAACAAACAATAAAAGCATACAATTTCTATTATTATTATTATTATTATTATTATTATTATTATTATTATTATTATTATTATTATTATTATTATTATTATTATTATATTGTATCAGTAGGGGATCTAGAGCTTCAGGGAACTTTATTTGGATATGCCAGATATGGTCTCATTGACATTTACCACACCGTCATTCCATTTTAGCTTCAGATAAAATACTCTCCTGGAAGGGCATGTTGAAACTTAGAATTTCGGATCTTAAGAATTGAGCCGAGCGGAAATAATTTTCTTTGTGCCAAAATATTACATTGTTTTATTGTATGGGGAGCGCACGGTAGGGTGTGCGACTCTTGATTACGCATCTCAAGGTCATAAAGGAAAAAAAGTTTTATTCACCAATTAGCTATAATTTTTTGCATGTTTGATTTACAGAGTTGCTCAAATCTTTTGAAAACATTTCGATGCCCCCACCCCCCCATTTGAAGTATTAAAAAGTTGGATACTCCCCCTTTCCATTCCCAAAATTTTACAAGGCCCCGTTGATTTCTTCCCACTCACCCTTCGGTTGCAAATGACCAGTCCCCAATCAAAGTGCAACAGATAATTTACCAAGGCAGCCATCTCTTTGTAATTGTAGTAGTTATATGAGCTCGAACTAATATTCATTTCGCTATTGCTCGTGTATGTTTTCCGTTATTAAAAATGTTGTTCCTTTCGATTTATTCTTTTAACTGTTCCTATACATATGTTTGACTTTGAATCTTTAACGTGCAGAGAGTGTGGAATGCACGGGACATCGTTTTCCATACCGAGCGGACGTGGCTGCGTATTTATACATTCAGCACATCCGAACTGACGACCACTTCAGCGAGGGTTTTACTTCGTGACGAGAGAAGATCAGGCAGTCCAATTTTTATCTATACCAGTCAATTCATTGGGGGTTGAAAGAGAGAACGTGTAGTAGTTAATATACGGCAATAGTTATGACATAAATGTAAAAGTACAAAAGTATACTCCTCATGTACGAAAAAACCTTTTTACGGACTCCACCAATAGCACGAGACAAAATTTGTAAATATCATTTAAAGAATTTATATATGGCGTAGATGTATGAGATTACGAAACAAATATAATGGTGAACTATTTCTACATAAAACCAAGGGATATATTGTATTCCACAAAAGACTCTTGATGTTCGTTGCGTTATATTGATTATTGATTGCTGATGTTTAACGCCACTTTTATTACTCTGTGCTATATCGTGGAGAATCCAAGTCAATTAAGGTCAAAGTACGGTCACGAGCAATGTTAACAAACTAGTGATTGCTGTAGTTGAACTACTTAAACAACTCATCCATCGAGGCCCTATTACGTTACAAAATTCTCTTGAATACTAGTTATTTGTCTATAGTTTTGTTTGTTGATAGTATTGACATTTTTTTCTATCTTTGACATTTTCCTTCGAGTTTAATATATTTACCACATGTATCTACTAGTACCTGTATAATTCAAAAACTCTCACAATTAAAATATATAAACAATTGCCAAAAAGTATGCACTTAATTTTGTGTAATATTTAAAGAGCATATTGACGTATAAATGTCCTATTCAGCCGGTTTAAACTGTCATAGAAATAAATTAAAGCTGTATTTTAAGCATATTTATTTATTTAATCACCTCCATTGTACATGTTGCTACGAACAGAACACCGGTATATAAAATAAACACAAAACTGTCACGATTTCCCAATGGTTACAATATGACAAATTAAATGAAAGTGGCGACGAGTCCAAAAAAACGACCCTTATCGCCACTTGTCCTTATGCAAACGTTATGGTTTGACCAAGATTTCAAGAGTCAGTTTTCAATGAAATGTCAGTTAAACGTGTATGAGGTTAAATTTTTGGTTTAAGTTACTTTGAGGTCACATCAAAATGAAACTTGGTGCGCATGTTCATTATGCAGAGAACTGTTTAACAAATATGCAAAATTAACATTGGTACGCAATAGTGCTAGCAGGGATTGGTGTCTTGCACCGATTCTTGATAATGCATCGATTTATCTATTTAACATTAATGTTTTGGCCATAAATTGCTGACTGGTCCTGTAATTAAAAAAAGTTATATGGGGTGTACAAAATATAGAATAAAGGGCTAACATTACAGAAAATGGGTAAAAAAAAATAATAGAGAAAAAATAGGCCAAAATAATAAGGATAGAGAATAATGTGCAAAATTTATGAAGAATATAGAAAAATGGTTAAAAAAATTAGAGAATACAGATTACAAGGAAACCTCGCCCAGACCTTCTTATATTCTTGATATTTCAGCCTATATAGTTACACTGAATTCACGGCCGTAGCGCACTCCTAAAAAAATGAGACAAAGGGGGTCTGGGGATGTGCATCAGCAGGATTTTAGATTCGCCCTATAGGTATAGAACCACTAATTCAGGCCCAGTCAGAAAGAACAAGAAAGTAGTACATATTTTAAACAAAATAGTTCCTACGCATAGCTGTATCTTTGGGTGAAATATTTGGGTAGTTTTGGTATCAAATGAAAGCTTGGGGACTTGGAATCACTGTAGAACCCTTGTTGAAAGTTTCTTTTGATTAATAAAGAAGTATATAAAATTATAATAGGAGTGCACATTTGCCCTGTTGTTCAGATCAGAAGTGCCTGTTTTTGTACTATCAAACTTCCGGGAACCAGTACGCTCTAATATGCAATTAAAGGTTGTGTTGAATTTTTCAGCACAAGTCAGGATAAGGTATAGTTTTGACATGAAATGACTGCCACTTTATTTGAACTTAAGACAAAGTAGCCTTTTATGCTTGAAATTGCAGAATTTAACATAGAAATCAATAGGGCTATGAATTAGTGGTTTTATACCTTAATAGACACACAAATGAATAAAAAAATCAAATTGATTTTCGTCATTTATATGAATTAGAAATTTGGGGAAACGAAAACCCCCAGATACCGAAAAAACAAATATAATAAAAAATACGTAGACATTTATGCTTTTAAAAATCTTTTAAATCTCCTGATGACCATTATATTTTTGGATGACACAGTGGCAAATGCATAGCATAGCATTATACAATATGAAATGAAAATATGCAGATTTGTATGGAAAGTTGTCTCATTGGCACTCATACCACATCTTCTTATTTACTTTAAAGGTACTACAATCTGTCGATACCTATATTTTGGCATTGCACAAGGTCATGTTTTTCTCTGACTGTTGATGACGTCTTCACACTAAATCCATTGGATGTTCGATGTGTACTGATTGATATTTTAGTCTTAATCACATGATTTTTGGTATTAGTTGTTATTGGCTTTGAACTAGCTGTCAGTAACTGCCAGTACTCTCAGATCTTAACTTAGTGTTTTTTGGTGTGGGATGATAGATACAATGACACGTCCGGTCTGTGTTTTCGTTAGATGTTTTCTGCTTTGTGTCGATCTGATGAGTTAAGCCCATTTCAACTGATCTTAATAGTTTGTTCTTATGTTGTACTTTTACACCACTGTCCCATGTTAGGAAGAGGGTTTGGCGCCAGCAAACTAGTTTAACACTGCCACATTCTATATGTGCCTGTCCAAAGTCTGGAGCCTGTAATTCTGTGGTTGTCGTTGGTTCATGTCTGTCATACCGGGTTATTTCTTTCTCGTAAATTGTTTTGTTATAAATTAGGCCGTTAGTTTTTTCAATTGAATTGTTGCATATTTTTCAGGTCAGGTCGGTATTGGGTTTTCTCATTGTTGAAGGCCGTACGGCTGCCTATGATTGCTTACATCCACTTCATTTGAACTTTGGTTGATAGTTGTCTCATTTGCAATCATACCATATCTCCTTATTTTTATATGGCTTTTTAACGGGAGCTTGGAATGTAGTTTTAGGCGTTTATAGCAGTTGTTCTATAGTGAGTCTTGATGTCGTGTCCCTTTGAAGTAAAAGTCTGATTGAATCAGTATTAAAACTCAAAGGCGGATTTGAGTGGGGTAGGGGGCTGGGGGATGGGGCGCCCCCTTATATAGAGCTTCACATATGTGTATGCATAGACTTTTTACAATGTCCAAGTCCTAACGTTGTGTTGACGGTGGGTTTCTTTAAAAAAAAAAAAAGCCTAGACACGCATCAGAAACTATCACGATGCTTAATGAATTGAATACCAGTTCATAATAACATTTGAAGATACGTATAATTTCATGTAAACAATTTAGAAATTCATTTTGTTTTGGATTCAAGAAATGCCGAACTCCTAGTGAATTTGTCTGTTTTTTTTATGATTTCATCATTCTTCGACGGCTATATCAAAAACAGACCCAGCTTGCAAAAAAAAAAAAAAAACAAACCCACCTACAGCAATTTTTTTCTAATAAAAACAAAGCAAAAAATATCTTAAAACTAGACGGGACACTTACCTCACGAAACATATTTACCATACAAAAAAAAAAAACTGATAACCATTTCAAAATACGACTTTGAAAGCTGAGCTGAAAAAAATCTATGATATGAATTTTCTTCCTGGTTTTGAAAGAAAGATTCTTTTTTTAGACACTAACGCGGCTGTCAAAGAAAGCACCATTTTTTCTTTGTAATCGTAAGTTTACGTTACGTTTACGATCACCTTTGTGAAACACTCGTAGCTAAATCATACGTTTAAGGTAAGTTTAATCGTAAACGTAAATCGTACGATTTTTTGTGAAACGCTAGCCAGGTTGATCTGTTGTTATTATTGTAAAAGATACCTAATAGTTGGTCTGAAATACAAATTTACATTGTTTATTACAGGTGTCCCGAAGACAGCCCTTTTCGCCACAAGATGGTATATAGTTCAAGCAAAGGCTATTTAAAGAAAGCGCTAAAACTCGCTACAGAAGTACAGGGAACAACCATTAATGATTTCGATTATGATATAGTAAAAGCCATTATCATTCGATACACACAATTTTAATGTTATGAATTTAATAATTCACTCTTATAACAGACTTAAATTGTTTTTCGAAGACTCTATTTGTAAATTTAGACATGAGAAATACCAACTTTTGTCTTAAAGGAAGTTGTAAGGAAGACAACTCAATATTTTTAGCGACTTTAATTAAGTGTCCTGTCAATCAATGTCAGCTTTTGGTACGTGTTTCAATGGTCTGTACAAAGTGTGAATCATTTGCTTATGTTTGAGTATGTATTCATCATCAGTTTTGATAGTTTTGACTGATCAATGTTTTTAAAGTTGTAAACTATATTAATTTTTAAAGTTATAAACTATATTAATCACAACATAATCCTCCCTATAATCTTAACAATTTTTTTTATCCCCAGTAATATTATACAGTTTTTGTTATTGGTCGCAGGAATTGAGCAAAATTCAGGTCCAGATCAGAGTAATAAAAAGAATTTGAAAATAGTACACAATGATGTGTTTAGTTTACTTCCTAAGTTAGACCTCGTTAACAATGAAGTACATGAGTATGACATTATTTGTATATCAGAATCTCATCCCGACAAGCCAATTAATGATGACCAAATTAAATTAAATGGGTTTCATAAACCTAAATGGTTAGATAGAAATAGACATGGTGGAGGTGTGACCATTTTTGTGAAAAATAGTCTACATTGTATTATACGGAATGACCTATCCGTAAGCAATCTTGAGTTACTTTGGATTAAAGTGAGGAATTGTAACAATGACAAATTTTTAGTTCTCATATATGGGACTTATTTAGTGAGTCAGTAGATAAAGCACTTGATTGTAATTTGTCACTTTTCCTTTGTGGTGATTTTAATTGCGGTATGTTGTCAAGCACAAGTAACTCTTTCAAAAAGTTACTTAACCGTTTAAATTTAGAAAATGTTGTTTGGGAGTCTACCAACTTTACAACCCAAACTGGAACTTGTATTGATTTATGTGTGACAAATCGCAAAAACTTAATTAAATCAGTAACTGTTCTTACTCCGATATGCAGTTCTCATTCTCCTGTTTCAGTTGAAATTTCATTTAGAACTTTTAAACAACACTCGTTTAAAAGACAAATTCGAAATTTCAAACGTGCAGATTATGAGGGTCTTAAAAACCAGTTGATCGAAACTGACGGGGATGATGTAGTTTTTAACTCAAATAATATAAATGATGTTTATATGAACTTTGTCAAACATTTGAAAGTAATGTCAATAGATATATAACTACTAAAACTATTACAGTACGACCAAATGATAAACCGTTTATCAACAACTTAATTAGAAACAAGATAAGACATCGTAATAGAATTCACCATAAAGCGAAAACTTCAAATGTACAGATCACTGGAAAAAATGTTGAGAAATTCGTAATGAAATTATTAGTTTAGTTAGAAAGACAAAAGATGACTTTAAGTGCAAACTGACATCACAACTTATTAATAAAAAATATTCCTCCTGGTAAATGGTGGCCCAAGTCGGTGTCAAATTTCACAAAAACAGAGATTCACCCCCTTTTGTAGAATATGATGGCCAAATTTGTATTCATCCATTGCACAAATCAGAGATCCTGAACAACCATTTTGCAAATATAGTTAATATTGATACGGAACCAGAAATTCCTGATAATAACGAGCCTCCTCCATGTCATTTAAACAAATTCGTCATCACTGAGAAAGAAATTTTAGACCAGTTAAAAATTTTGAATATAAATAAATCAGCTGGACCTGACGGTATCAGTCCTAGAATTTTAAAAGAGGTTGCTAGCTTTATTTCTAAACCATTAACTAAATTATTTAATATGTCTCTTTCAGCTAAACAGGTTCCATTGTTATGGAAAATTGCACATGTTAATCCTATTTTCAAAGGAAAAGGTAGTCCACATTCAGCTCTTAACTAACGTCCAATTTCTGTTACTAGTATTGTTTGTAAGGTTATGGTAAAGGTTCTTTTTAAACACTTGTATAATTATACGAGGAGTAATAACCTTTTGTCAAAGTGTCAATCTGGATTCCAGCCAGGTGACTCTATTTTAATAAGTTAATTGAAATATAACATAAAATTATCAGTAATATGGATGTAAGGTTTGTATTTTGTGATGTATCTATGGCTTTTGACACAAAGGACTTTTATTTAAACTTTAACAATCTGGCTTAAATGATCAGCTCTTATCTTGGATAGAAAGTTATCTTTCAGATCGTCAACAAACGGTAGTTTCAGAAGGTTTTTCATCAACTCTTAGAAGTATACATAAAGGTGTCCCTCAGTGATAATTGTTGGGACCCTTTCTGTTTCTCATTTATATGAATGATATAGTAAATGACATTGTTAATGATATTAGACTTTTTGCAGATGACACCTCTTTATATGTTATAGTAGATGATGATCATGCTGTAGCAGCTGCTTCTTTGACTGATGACTTAGATGTTATCTCAAATTGGGCAAAATCATGGGCTGTTCAATTAACTCAAAGAAAACAAAAAATATTGTATTTACTAGAAGGGACAGGGAGCATCCGCCTGTATTTTTTGGGATAAATGGTGAAGAGGTTGAGAAAATAAATATTCACTGTCATCTTGGGATAACATTTCAGTCATCAACTTCATGGAACACACATATTGATAATATTTATAAAAATGCATGCTCTCGTTTATCTGTGCCTCGACAAGTTAAACATTTATTAGACAGGAATTCACTTATACGTATTTACTATGCTTTTATTACACCTATATTAGAGTGTGGATATGTTGTTTGGGCCAATTGCTCCCAGCACGAGTCCGAGCTTCTTGCAAATATTCAAATAGAAGCTGCTAAAGTTATTACTGGCCTACGGCGTAATTCCTCAAGACAAAAACTTTATATTGAAGTAGGATTAGAAACTCTGGAGTATAGACTAAATAAACATAAGCTTATACTGTTTTATAAAATATTAAATGGGATGACACCTGCATACTTATATGAGTTAGTCCAGCCATATTTTCCGAGACAAACCCCTTATACTTTGAGGAATGAAAATAATACTGTTCACCCTCCTCTTGCTAGAACTAACTCTTACTTTAATAGTTTCATTCCCACTATAAGACTTTGGAATAGTCTTCCTCTAAGTATACACAAATCCCCAAGTTTGTGTATATTTAGCTGGATAAGTTTTATAGGACTGATGAAATATTTAAACCTCTCAATTATGGGATAAGGAAACATAACATAAGTCATTGTCAACTCAGAAATAATGCTAGCAACCTAAAATCTCATTTGTTTAATCAATTTTTATCAGAGAACACTATTTGTGCAAACTGTAATCACCCTGTTGTGGATAACAAGCATTTCTTATTATTTGCCCTAAGTAAAATGATGTAAGACAGATTTTACTTTATTCCATTTACTCAAGTGTTGATAATGTTGACATAAATATTGATTTATTACTCTTTGGAAACAGATTATTTTCATATGATATGAATATTGCTATTTTTAAATCTGTTCAGAAATATATCAGTGACACTCACCGTTTTGTTTGAAATTTTCTTAATTTTTATTTTATTTAGTGTTTTTTTTTTCATTTCTTTCCTTTCTTTTTCCCCTTCAACATTAATACATTTATTCCACTAAGTAAGCTTAGTGTCTCTTCCAAACATTAAATATATATTTCTAATGAATTATAGAGGATATTTACATGTCTCAAGGTACATGTACTTGAATAAATGATGATTAATTGCCTACATATACTTTACATTTAGTAATTAACACAGTGACTGTAAATATATATTTGCTTGTGTGTGCTCATAAGTAGCATGTATTTTCCACTATATAATATTATTTTAAATACAGTTGTTAATATTTGATTTATACCGTGTACATGTAATATGGAGAGAGCTTTTATATGCTGTGCCTGTTGCTCAATCCTTTTCATATCTTAATGAATAAAATATGTTTAAAATCAAATTATGGTGGTACATAACACTACAGGGAGATAACTCTGTAAAAATCAGCTGAACGTTTTAATCACGTTCTATTGTTAAGGAAATATTAAGCTTCTCAATGATCAAAATTAGTGTTTTTCAAACTGCTATATATCCAATGAAATTTTTCCGATAAAGTGTGGTTCAAGTTTGTTGAAATTTTTATATTTTTGTCAAAGGGTCAAAGTAAATATTTTGTCAAAATTTTATGAAAATTAAACGAGCCAAATTAATTTTAGTCAAGGTGTTTGGTACCACCTTAAGATACGGAAAAAATTTCCGAAATCAAGTTCAATAATCCATCCCTCAATTCCCATACGTGATTTACATTTTTGTATTTATTCGTGTTTTGGAAAGACAGTCTTATCGCATTATTATATAAATCTATGGAAGATTCATGCTTTTTGTAAAAAACATATTAGTACAAGTCAAACAATTTTGATATAATAACTAATTTAAATATTTGCTCTTATAACAGATTGGAATTGTCTTTCTTATATACATGGGAAATATCAACGTTTATTTAAAAAGAATTTGTAAGAACGACAATTCAAAATTATTTAGAGTTCAATTAAGATACGGAAGAAATTTCTGAAATCACATTTTTGTATTCCTTCGTGTTTTGGAAAGACAGTCTTATTGTATTATTACATTAATCTATGGGAGATTCATGTTTTATCTTGTTGTTACATTCATATAACGTCGTTTTATTAAAAACACCATTGAATGTTTATGTTTTGTAAATCTTGACGCTTTCAATAAAATTTAACAAGTAGTAAAACAGCTCGCGTTTTAAGATTGTTTTTTATTATTATCATTATTATTGTAATAATTTTTGTCTTTGTGTTTTTTTTTTTACAAAAAAAACAAATAAAAGATTTCTTTTTATGTTGTAAAAATACCACTTTTCGCTTTTTATGAATCAGCTTTTGAGATATTGTTATCTATGTCGTTTACTGCAAGAGTTGATTTTAAATGAGTTTTCAAAAGCTTTCAAATACAATAAAACATTTCTCTTCTTAGTTGTATTAGTGTTTTACTTCTTTACATCGAAAAAAAAAAGAAAAATTCATTGAAAAGGAAACTCGACCAAATAAAAAGCTGAGTAACAGATATGAGAAACAAATGATATGTAGGATTAAATGACTATGTTTCTTAGAATTGAATATCCACCAATTTAAAGATAATTTATTAATAGACTACGTACTGTTGACAACAGCGTTATCTTAAAATGAAAACAATTGACAATAAATCCCGATTCCGCCAAAGGAAATGTTGAATAATTCTTCTTTCAATTGTATTAATTTCATCATCTTACTCATAAACATATGAATAATACATTGTCCACTAACGCATGCAATTGTTAGTTCAATTAGAACACTAGAAACCTATATGAGGTAGATTTAATAGATGGGCTTCTTTGGCGAGTGGTAAAAAGCTAGCATTACCCTTGAACATAGCATTCCGTTATAAAGATGATGTCATCTCACTGAATAATTCAGTTATAAATGAGTTTGGTTAATATATTGAACGTATCTATCTCATCGAACTTAAAATAAAGGATACAACAGATAAGTTAAGTCTGCATCACATCTTAACTTACATCTAGAAATTGACAATTTAAAACAAAAGATTACGATAAAAGAGATGATTCATGCTTCCCAATTGTGAAACGTTTCATTTCTATATAGCAACATGTCAGCAGCGCCTGCATATAGAGTATATTTCCCAGTTGATACGATATTCAAGAGCCTGCATTTCCTATCATGATTTCGTTGATAGAGAGTTACTGCTTACAATGAAACTTTTCAACCAAGAGATCCAGGCTCGAATTTCTGAGGTCCAGTCCTGTGGAGACAACGTGATTTTGAAACAAGAACTTAGTTATTATAGCCAGGGTATGTGTAATGAGAGTCAAAAAGGTATGATAGTTGTTGAGGTGGGTGAATTGTAACGAGATTGCTTCTATCAGTACATGTTTCAATACTTAGCAAGCCGTGAGAATTTTTATTACAAATAGATCCCTCCGAAGGCACATACCGACGGTTGAACTTCAGTCTGCTGATTTGGTAATTAACTTTACACACAAAAGTCCTTCAAAACTCACAATGGCCACTTGAAGCTTGTTATACTAGAATTTATTATGTCTTTCCACTTTTCTGTGTAAAGACCTATTGTATTTGTTCTGATTATTATTAGGTCTTTCCACTTTTCTGTGGAAAAACGTATTGTATTTGTTCTGATTTTTATTTTTTTTTCTTCTTCCGCCACTTTTATTACTTGCGTGTAAGTTTTGTTTCTCAAGATGTCGCTTTGATGTTTGGTATATGATATTGCATAGTTTATGAAACTAACCCTTCTTAACCGTATATTTTTCTTTGTAAGAGTTATCCCCAAACACTGTTTTTCTTGTGGGTGCATCTCCTCAGTAACCGTAAAAGAAAGCGACAAATTTATTTTATCAAATTGCTCGACTAATTTTGGGGACGAGATACATTATTTGGAGGTCGGTTTCAGCATTGGCACTTGACCCCGGCTCGCAACGGTAATATAGTATTGCCCTTGTGGGCACTCCGAGGAGGGTGGATGATAAGAATAGTGAATATTTTTCCTCTCAATATGGCACACCAAAACCCAAACTCCAAATCAGCTCTATTAAAAAAAAGAAAATGTGAATACTCTGAGCTCTGTAGGGAAGATGATAGTTGGCCCCGATTTATTGTGATTACAGGTACTGTCGACAAACCTATATCCAAAATTTCTCCTTTTGTAATTCAGAAATGTATTCAAGGCATTGCTGGAACGGTCAAAAAAAGTTTCTAAAATGAGATCAAGGAATTTGTTAGTTGAATGTATAAACAAAAGTCAATCAACAAATTTGCTGAAATTGACAACTATAACTGGTTTAACTGTTTCGGACTCTGCACACACTAGTTTAAACAGTAGCAAGGAAATCATTCGAGACAGAATTCATTATCTTTCTGATCTAACTGTTGGAGAAATTTGCAAAGAACGTTCAAACCAAGATGTAACTGATGTGGTTAGAGTCAAAATTAAAAAGAATGACCAAATGATTAAATAAAATACTTATCTTTTGACTTTCAAAACTCCAACTCCTCCTTCCTCTTTGAAATTGGGATGCTTAGGCATCAAGGTAGACATGTACATCCCAAACCCAATTAGGTGTTTCAAATGCCAAAAGTTTGCTCATAGGACCAAACAATGTCATGGTAAGCAGAAATGCTTCAAGAGTTCTGGGGAAGGACACGAGGGAACAACCTGTCACCCTGATTTTGTCAAATGCTCAAATTGTGATGGATCCCATTTTTCATCATCTCGGGACTGCCCAGTTTACTTAAAAGAAAAAAAAATATAATTAGAATTAAAAAAGAAAGAAACATCAGTCACACGGAAGCTAAACAGATAGCTTCTGTTTCGAATGATTTCAACGCTACGAACAAGCCTTCGTATGCGAGCAAAGTTAGCTGTTCATTCAGTCACGAGTCGACACAGACTCGAATGAACTGGCCCATTGATGCTGAAACGTTAAAGATGTTGCCAGCTCAAACTGAACCATCTGACAGAATTATTACAGCAAGAAACCAAATTCTACCAAAACCAGTACTCAGTCAACTCAATCTTCCTTACAGAGCTCAATGTCATCACCTAAAAAAAAAAATGAAAGTAAGAAATCAAATTAAAGAGATGCAAATAAATCAGACAGTTGGGGCAATGGATCTATCTGGGATCTTCCCGACGACATAGATACTTCATCCATCGTAAATAGTCTTGAGTTCCTAAATCTGCATCTAATAAAAAGTCTACTAGTTTATCTTTTGCATCTCGTTAACATTATTCTAAAGCCCCGTCTCCTCTTCGTTCTCCAGAACAGCAAAACGTCCCAAAAACGCCAGCAAATTCCACCCCTTCTGAGAGGAGGTCGCGGGGTAGGGGTCGAGGCGACATCTACAGGGGAGATTTAAAAAAAGTTAAAAAACAAAAAGAATAAATAAAGTTGAACTTTAAATCGAAAAATGGTGAAAATTATAATAAACTCTTTTCTCTGGAAGAACATCTCTGTCAAAGGCCCATGATACATCTTGTGGGCCTGATAATATTCACTACCAATTTTTAAAACACTTGCCAGATTCCTCGCTGGAAGCTCTTTTGCAGCTCATGAATAATATCTGGGAATCTGGTGACTTACCATCAATCTGGAAGCTTGCAACCTTTGTGCCTATTCCTAAACCAAATAAAGATCACACGGATCCTATTATCTATCGACCAATTGCTCTTACCAGTTGTGTCTGTAAAACACTAGAACGGATGGTCAATGATCGCCTTGTTTGGTTCCTGGAATCAAATGGGCTATTAGCCAACATCCAGTGTGGATTCCGACAAGGTCGCAGTATTCTTGATCATCTTGTTCGATTCGAATCATTTGTCCGTAATAATTTTGCGAAAAATGAACATGTGGTGTCAGTCTTTTTCGATCTTGAAAAGGCCTATGACACTACATGCAACTATGGTATTCTAAAAGATCTTTTTGATATGGGGTTTAAAGGCAATATGCCAAATTTTATTTCGAATTTTCTGTCTAACAGACAATTTAATGTTAGAGTAAATTCAATGTCTGATTTGTATAATCAAGAGATGGGTGGCCTCAGGGGAGTATTTTTTCTGTTACACTATTTAGTCTTAAAATTAACAGCCTTGTTGAAGTGTTGAAAAGTAATATTGAAGGTTCATTGTATGTTGATGATTTTTTAATATGCTACAGAGGCAAAAATATGAATAACATAGAACGACAATTACATCTTTGTCTTGGAAGAATTGAAAAATGGACCTCGGAAAATGGTTTTAAATTTTCTACATCAAAAACGGTTGGGATGCATTTTTGTAACAAAAGGAAATTGCATCTTTGTCCAGAACTCACCTTAAACGGAACCCCAATTAAAATGGTTGATAAAACCAAATTTCTGTGGTTAGTTTTTGATAAAAAGTTAACCTTTCTACCCCATATCAAAATGTTAAAATCAAGATGTTTAAAGGCATTAGATATTTTAAAAGTTGTCGGCAGCACTGACTGGGGTACTGATCGCAACATTTTACTTAACTTATATAGATATCTAGTTAGATTTAAACTAGATTATGGCTCAATAGTGTATGGCTCTGCAAGGAGGTCCTACATACAGATTCTCGATGCTGTGCATCACCATGGTTTGCGTCTGTGTCTTGGCGCCTTTAAAACCTCACCAGTTGAGAGTCTGTATGTAGAGGCTGACGAGCACTCACTCTCCAACAGACGTTTGAAGCTTGGACTTCAATACGCTGTCAAGCTAAAAACATATCCAGAAAATCCTGCCTATAACTGTATTTTTTAATCCCATTTATGAAGATATATTTGCAAAACATGATAATAAAATTTCTCCATAAGGAATTCGTTTAAACCGCATTTAACCACTTTTGATTTAAAATCTGTTGCTCAGGTTGAAACTTGCAAATGCCCTCCATGGGAACTTCCCAAACCGAAAATGATATTTGATCTCCGTAAATACAATAAAACGGAAACATACCCTCTTTTAATTCAACAACATTTTGCTGAAATTAAGGCAAATTATTCAGATTTTTCAACTGTTTATACAGATGGATCGAAGGATGGTTACCGAGTTGCATCTGCCGCATCCATATTTACTGCCGAAGCAAAGGCAATAATTTTGGCTTTGAAATTTATTGCTACTTAGACAAATCCAAATGTATTATATGATCTGATTCACTTTCATGTTTACAAGCTATACAATATACTAAAATTAAAAACCCGATAATTCTCAAGATTTTATATG